CGAGAGCGGGCGGGGGGGGGGGGGGGGGGGGGGGGGTGGGGGGGGGGGGGGGGGGGGGGGGGGGGGGGGGGGGTCACTCATTTATAGAATAGCTCTAAGCCACAAGAGACCTGGTGGCGCACAACTAGGTTTTTTGAACTGGCACTGACATATATAAATCATCCAAATAAGCGCCAGCCTCCTGATCCAAATGGACCCAGCCCCCCACCCCCAAGGAGCAACAAGAACACAGCAGTGTTGCCAGGACTGGTGCGTGGCTTGCTGGTACGTGGCTTTTACGTCCTAAAAACCAAGTTCAGGATGTAAAAGATGCTCAAATCTGGATCTCAGACCTAAGGCCACTCTTGTCAGCTTTCCGTCTTCCACAACAGCCAGCCAGATGGTCCAATGGGTAGTCCCCATATTCGAGACGTAAAGGCAGCGGCCCCGACCTCCTCCCTCGGGTGATCCATAGCCCTTCAGACAAATACATCTTGGTGGGCCCTATTCCCCACACATTTATCCACTCGGCCATTCAAGCTGTCCAAACTGGTGGCCATCATGACATCTTGTGGCAGGAAGTTCCGCTGTTTAACTCTTTAGTTTACATCCCTCCTGAATCACCCCAGGTCTATCATCTGGACAGAAGGACGAAGGAGAAACCACCCCTTCCTGGCTGTTTCCTCCACCCCACACGTCATCTCACACACCCCTCTTATCTTTCATCCTAGAGGTCCTAACCTCTCCACCCCCCTCCCTGGAGAATCTCACAAGTGACCGTAAGCGAACACCGGCAGTTGTTGGGCGGACCCAAAATGATCGGCCCAAACCACCGAGCAGCCGGTCAGTTCCACCTCCGTGGGCCTGAAAGCCCCAAGGCCGGCTCGGGAGCCCCACGCGAGAAAGACAGGGAGATCCCAGGGGGCCACCCAGGTGGGAATGCGACCGGCCGCGGAGACTTTTGCTACCCACACAGACACACACGCACACCCCTGTCGAGCCCAGAGGTCCCTCCAGAAGATTCTCCAAAGGGGGGGGCTCCATCACGTGCCCAGGCACACCCCCCCAGCCAAAGAACAGGGAGCGGAGGCGCAGCAAGCTTTGGCTGCCAAGAGAGGCAGGGTTGCCGTGGAAACGGCCCTTTGTCCGCGCTCAATGGCCAGAGCTGCCTGCTGCTGGTGCTGCCGCGGCCGGTCCCACCGGCTTGGCCTGCCTGGAGCAGCCGTGGAGGGCTTGCTGCCTGGTGACACGAAACGTGGTGGGCCTCGGGTTTGCAGTGGGCGAGGGAAGGCCGCGAGGGAAAGCCAGCATGTGGGGCCGGTCCCGAGTCAGAAGGCGTCCACCACGGAGGAAACCCAGAGAAGATACACGCACGCACACGCACACACACACACATCGCTTGCACAGAGCTCCCAGCGACCCCTTTTCTGGCCCCAATTGACACATCACACTCGGGGGGGGGAGAGATCCTGCTGCCCCCCCTTGCTTGACCCCCCACCCACCCTGGTTAGGGTCCCTTCCAGCCCTGCGGTTCTAGATTGCCAATCTAGAACAGGAACAACAACAGTAACAACAACAATAACTGTTGTTGTCATCATCATCATCATCATCATCATCATCATCATCATCATCATCATTATTATTATTATTATTATTATTAGGTCTCTGGCTGAAGAGCCAGAGAGGCTGGGAGTCTGGTTCCCCACTGGGCCTCCTTGAGCAGGGTTGGACTGGATGATCCACAGGATCCCAGAGGATGATAATGGTTTAAATGATGATACCCATGGCACCACTTCCCCTTCCGTCTGTCCTTGCACAAACAAACCCCTCAGTTAAAAGCAACAGAACGAAGCCTTTCTCTCCCGCCAGGAGGGCCTTCTCTCCTCCCTCGCTTCTTCTCCAGGCACCCCCTCCTTTCTCCTCTCCCCCAGTGCTAGCCCCCCCCCAAAAAACTTGGCTGCCTCCCTCCCTTTCCAACGTGCATGGCTCTGCTGCTCGTCCTTCACCCCCAGGGTCACGGGAGAGAAGGGGAGGCCTCCGTCGTCCTCCCACGGACCCTGGTTGGACCCTGGTTGGAGCAGAGAGACCGTCCCCACGTGCAGGAAGACATTCGGGCCAGTCCACTCCAAGAGTGCGCACGAGCGCACAGAGAGTCCAGCAGCGCCACTGAATGGCCCGTTGTCAGCTTTCGGGAATGGCGGCCCATTTCAGCAGAGCCGTGGGACGGGTCAGCCTTTTGCAGGTGGCCGAGAAGGGCCACCAAGCCTTGTGGCTTTGCAGCCGCAGCCTCGTCCCACAGGCCGGCAAACGTCTGTTTCACGCAGGCAGACAAGGCAGGACGCCTTAAACACTTAAAGATGGGGACGTAGATTCCCGCCACACCTGCCCCTGCCCCCCCCAAACGAGGTCCAACCATCCTCAGAGATATAAGGCAGCGCAACTGACCCACGGCCAAGGTGGGGCCTGTGGTCAGACATCGCCGGAAGCTCCGGGGGAGACACAGTCCAGGCGGGAACAAGGCTGGGAAGCCGTTGCATCCAGTTCCGGGAGATTCAGGGGCTCACCCCCCAGGAAAAAGATCAATATGGCAGATGGCAAAGAGGTCTCATGTCCCCCCCACCTCCAGCCATACTCAATAAACCCCAAGGAACCTTCTCCACCAGCCCCCCCCCACCGCCACTGCCACCACCACCAGGGGCCCATTTTCCCCAGCTGATCAGCCTCCCCCTTTCCCTTTTCCCTTCCCCTGGGGAAAACGGGGAGCTCAGAGCCAGCAACAGCCTAGGGAAGCAGAGGGTGGGGGCGACGGGGGGGGGAGAGGAGCAGGGAGGGGGAGAGAGAGAGAGAGTCCCAGGAGGACAGGTCTTCCAAACAAAAGCCACCCAAGCTGTTACGGGGGACTAGATAGAAGTCGGTCACAAGGAAAATGAGATCCTGGCAGCTGGACAGGCCGGCGGGGGCCGGAGCGACAAAGAGCGGTTCTCTCTCCAGCCAGCCGGGAAGCCTCCGCAGAGAAGCCCCTCGAGGACATGTTCCCCCCCCTTCCCACTTGCAGGCATCCAGGCCACCACCGCTGGGTGGCCGCACCATCCCCGGGAGTGTTTTCCCCACTGCCTTTGTCCATCTATCCGCCGGGAATCCCGTTTTTAATTTTTAAAAAGGGAAAGGGGAAGCTAGGATTGTCTAAACGCCTCCCCTCCTTGGCACGCCGGCATTGAGGACACACACACACACACACACAGAGGGGGGGGCATTACTGCAGCCGGGCAGACCCAGCCCTGGGGCGTCCCTTAGACCTGTGCCAGGAATGGTCACCTTTTTCCTGAAGTTTTTGAGCATCCTCCAAACATGAAATGCTCTCCTAGTGAGAGCAGGAGAAGACCAAAGGCCTCATCCTGTTCCTTGCACTTCATTCACGCCCTCCGACCTCACAAGCCAAGTTCAACACAAATCAAATCAGCATTCCTTTGACACCATTTGGTACACATTTTGAGCCCGTCCGCTTAAGGGTTGTGTGTGCATTTCACACCCAGCCAAACCCACAGGGTTATTCTTTCTGCAGAGGCGCGCGCTCTCCGTGGAAAGGCTATGTGGGAACCCCGAAGTAAGGCAAGGACTTCCCTGAAACAGATTCTCTTATCGTGCGCCTTCAGTCCCCTCACGAGAGGCTGACCCAGGCCAAGCCACAGCACCGGCCCACCCGGATCAGGACCAATTGGGGCCCAAGCCACAGCAGTTTCCCCGCCCGGCAGCCGGAAATCCTTGCAAGCAGAGAGAGGGCCCAAGCCACAGCAGTTTCCCCTCCCGGCAGCCGGAAATCCTTGCAAGCGGAGAGAGGCCCCCCGAGGCATTCTGGCCATGGAGCAGCGCGTCTTCGTGGCCACCATGCCTTCAGGAGGCTGCTCCAGAGGAACACACACACACACACATACACAGACACCATGGCTGGGTCTCCTTACTGCAGCAACCTTGTTTTGAAAGTGCTTTTTTCCCAGGAAGGAGGGGGAAATGCTGGAGACTGACCAATCAACCCGGGGGGGAGGGGGTTGTGGGTTCTCTGCTTTCATACAAGCAACCTCATTTTACCATTTTGTAAAACCTCATTTGACAAGCTTGTAAAGCTCACTTTACAAACTTAGTCACGCCGCCTTCGCTGACACCCTCATCAGAAACGCCTGCAGGTTTTCCCTGCTGCCTTGTGTCCCATCCAAGAACCAGCTTCAGCAGTTTGCCTGGAAAGAACGGCGGTCGGTTTGCCTCCTGGTCACCCCAGCCCTTATCGAGTCGGCCTTCAGTCATCCAGCCCCCCCCACATCCCCCCCAACTCCGCTTGTTCCACTGGACAAGTTCACGTGGCCTCTGCACACAAGGACCAACAAGGGAGAAGACTCCTGGGGGTGGGGTGGGGGAGCGGCACCTGGG